AACTTGAGCAGCGCGTTTAAGACTTACTAATTACTTGTTAATTCCAAAATCGGAATTCAAAAGATCACTGATATTGGTTTTAACTTTTTTTAAAGATTCTCGTCCTTTACTTGTTATATTTAACAAACAGTTCAAGGACATTTATCCATCCTGACATTTCTTTTGAGACCTGGTATTTGAAAAATTAATACGATTACTTTTCCTTCATCTGAAAGCTGTTCATTCTTTCCTCAAAATTTAATTTTTTTAGTAAATGTTTCCTTCTTTTAAACAGGAGCAGTACTTTCTAGCTGTCTAGTGTAGTGTATATAATGGACGGTCTTCGAGATTTTTGACTCATCCAAGACAGCAAAAAACGTTGTATTGCCTCAACTCTTCGACGTTTCGGTGATATGTTTCACCATCTTTAGGTATTTCTATAACCATATATGTTTTTGCTGCTTTGGAAGACTGAAAGAGCCGAAAGTCCCCAAGACAGTCCCTTGTAAACACAATTTACTTTATTTGAATAGAAATTGCGCATCATTAAAAAAAAACGAAAGAGCATGAAATGTAGGGGAACGTGGGGCAGTTTTCACACCTTAAGAAAATCATCACTGATGATACCAAATTCAGTGGAAAATTCAAATGATTTTTAACCAACTGGATAGTTCCAAGCAGGGATCGACTAAAAACTCAGTGTGGTGCAAAAAACACTGGTGCCATTCTAAAATAAGGAAGTGCGTCCCTTATATTTGGAAGGAGAAAGAGACAAAGGAGAGAGACTAAGGACCTGGACAGCCCAGGTGCTACTTGCGTATAGCACAATCGAGTAGTGCACGGTGTTATGACGGGAAATTCAAATTTTGATGCTTTTCCTAAAGAGATTTTTTTAAGATCGATGTGTAATTTTCTTCACAAGGGGGTTAGCTCTGGTCGACATTCCGGCGAAAAATCTCCACTTTAAATTTGTCTTACATTGATCCGACATCGGGTCGACATGTCTGTTCGGGACAATTTTTCTGGGTTTCTTCTATACTCCACTGTCGAATATCAAATGAAAGTGATAGACTCAGTTGACAGTGACGATGAGGCTCGAATGAGAAAGGGGCTCTTCAAAAGATGGGCACGAGAGAACACAGAATCGATTGAATAGTTGTATTGGTTCATCTTCAATCGAATGATATGAAAATTAGCAGCACTGATGCTAGCTATCCAACAACGCTACAGTTATAGAGAAAGTACACTGTCGGAGAAACAAAGAGAAAGAGAGAAAGAGACTCAACATCGTTGGAAGAATGAAATGTGCTGCACGATTTAAAATGCTCATTCACGTCTCTTTGGAAACGAAAGTGCAGTCTCGCAACAGCGTGTGTTTTACTCGCAAAAAATTGAGTAGCACCCGATCCCTGGTTCCAAGCCCTATTTACATCATGAATACAAATTTAATATCAAAACTAAACTTTTGAGTCGGTTGACGCTTCCTTGATGCTGATTTGGCAATTTTAAGGTTCAAGACACAGTCAATCAATTGCGATTCCTCTTGTTTTTGAAATCTTCTTCAATCATCATCATTAATATGCACATACATTCACACACAAGCCATCCGAAAATTTAAAGCAAGTATTTCATGATTTTATGTCGTATATGTTCTGGGTAAAACACTATCACTGCATTTCCTTACTTGTGTTCTTCATAGCATTCCACAGTTTCACGTAATCGTATACACTAAATTTATTAAAACTGGAAGTCAAATCTCTTGGTGAACACAACAAAACACCAAGAAAATCACTTCGTTTCCACTTCTTTGCTAGCGAACGTAGAAGAATCATTGAATCAAGCGTTGCCAGATGTATTACCTCTAGCATTGAATATAATTTTTTTTAAACATGCCAATACGAAGTTTAACCCAATAACTTAGATGAGTGGATGTTTTTAATGGCGAATAAATATCAAAAACTGAATGAATAAAAATAAAAGGTCCTTTTTTGGAACTTAAACGTTCCAATTACAAAGGTAAACAAAGATTGAATTAAACACAAACAGGCGAGATGGCAGCATTGCATGTAGCATGTTATTTGCTTTCCCGCTGAGGGGTGTAAACGAAATGTCATACACCGTAGTCTGGCAGTGTGAATGTTTTGTCTACGACATTCTTATACACGTGCATGTGTGACGTCACATTTGCTGTTGTATTGATAAGTAAAAGAATAAAAGAGATGGCAGATTTTGCTCACCATACCAGTTGATATATACGATTCATTGACTGTTTTGGCACGGCGACGCACGCTACCAACGAATTTTACCAATACTTTTAGAAAGTGATGATTTAGGATTACATGAAGAAGAAGCAAAAGAAAATCGAGTGATGGTTAGTTGCCTCTTAAGTCATTGCTGGAATTTTAAGGCCATTTGAACATTTTTTGTGATTTAATTTAAACGTTAAGATCCTTTTCAATTTGAAAAGCTGTTTAGTATATTTAATACTATTTTATCGTTTTATGACCTTATGGCTCCTGTGATGTTGTCAGACCATTTTTTAACTAACAAGGCCATTTTTTGCCTGATTTGGCTTAATGCGTTTAATGTTTTTTTTTATGTTTTTAAGTTGTTTCACTGCTACTTTTTTTGTTTGTTGGGTCATCTTGGATTTTTTGGCTGTTAACGATGGAGGATATTGAGAGCTTTTAGACCATCATGCGGTTTTTGACTTGTTTGCAATTCGAATTTCAGCATTTAAAAGGTCATTTTGGTCTTCAATCTTGGTGGGTTGCAAGTTTATGGAATTTCTAAAAGTTAGGCTCAATCAACGAAAGCTTGATAACTACTGCAATAAAAAACTGTTCACGAAACTTAAAAACACATCACCTGATACTGTCGGTGACCGAAATGTAAGCTTGACTTATGTCTATTATACTATTCTTAGAGCAGATCAATTCTACAAATGTGTGTTAATGATGAAATTAAGACAAAAATGTGAAACAGTATTCATTCCCTGAATCGATCGGCATTCAAGCCCACCTCAATCAAAAGGCATCTCATCGACATCTCACCACAAGGCAAATGTCAGCTACAACCTTCAACGAAACCACTGGGACTCACGAAACGGCACAGCACATAGTTGTACGGCTACCTTTCCCTCCATTTGAAGATTCCTCATGACACTCGATACAATGTTGCACGTATGAGAGGAGCAAACCGACCGACAACTGGAAAGCACCATATACCATCATTGGATTGCTTTATACCCTGCAATCTCTATTCACTGCGATTAATGGCTGAATCGAGACACGTTTAGAAACGCGCTCGCAACTCGCAGTTCGCACGCCATTGGAGCGCCAATCCTCTTTTTTTTTCTCGCAAATCCGCAATCGATGCACCGCCGCCGCCGACCGGAGAAGAGCAACGGGTGCGCGCGCGTGAAGCATGCCAAATTAGTTCGCAGAAAATAACGAGCCCGATCGATGCCGACGTTCGACAGCTTGCCATTCCTTGCGAACGAAACAAGAGGTGCCAACTTATGTGAACGGCGCTTGAATGTCTAAAGATCAAATGTCGTGAAAACATTAGTCTTTCACGTTCATATGTCACAACATCATCATCATCATCATCATCATCATCATCATCATCGGTCGGCGGGCGGTAAACGAAGTGCCTGAATAGAACTTGCACCATCTATCGGTACCGGGGCCGCTGGGTGGGAGGAGGACCGTAATCAGAAAGTCGTGCCCAAACCCATGTCTCGAGCTTGAAAAGCGTTCTTCGGGTTCACGATTAAGGTGCACCACTGCACCATTGACTCTCCCGAGAAGCAGGGAACACACTTTAAGTTGTGATGTATCCGATCGATTTCGCGACTTTTTCGCTTGCCTTGGAGCAAGAAATATTTCGCGGGGTGACATTTAAAGTTTTTATTGCATTATCATTTTTATGCTATTGTGAGACCTTTCAAAAGACGACACCTTTCACGTTCGATGTCATCTCACAGCAATGACCTATGGCAGCAGCATTGAACACTGTTTAGCATTCACCAACAATGCTTGGAGTGCCATTTCGAATTAAAAACGGATCCACCCATATATTTTGATCGTTCGTTGTTCGTAGCAACCAATAAACAATGTATGTATGGCGGATCTCCAGAGGAACGAGAAAATTAATTTTGCAATATTAACACGATGAAATGCTCCAAAACTTGGAAAACTGCTCGTTTACTGCTTAGCTACTCATATTTACTGTCTTACCTGTGATTTTTTTTGTCAGAGGAGCGGAGCGACATGTTAGCGTCTACAATAAGGTAAAGAAGATTTAGAAGCTCATTCTAGACACTTACCCTCTGACTAATTAAACCCCAAGCAGAATAATAAATCTGAGTAGCTACGCAGTAAAAGATCATTTTTCCAAAGTTTAAGGAGCACTTCATCGTTTTAATATTACGTTTCCATAGCTGTCCTAGAGGAACCTCTCAACCATGAACAATGCTAATTGCCTGATACATGATGAAGATGATGATGATGATGATGATGATGATGATGGTGATGCACCTTGCTAACAAAACTCAAAGTGTTTACTGAGTCAATTATCGTGTGTTATTGTTTACATTACCCAGCTGCCAAAAAAATGCGATAATTTTTGATTAGATAATTTTGCCCGTGTTGAGCAACGAGTGCCAAACACGCGCCGTCGTCATCATATATTCGGTGTCTGCACACGATCCAACATACATGAGCTAATTGGAGAAGGTGAATCATCCGGAATGAGAAACAAATACTGCTGAAGATGGTGATGATGATGATGATGCTCCACGATTATTACCAAATAGAAAAATTGATCCGAAAAAGTGGTGCTCGAAATTGGGTAATCGATTGTTGCGATCAGCTGTTTTCCGGCTGAGTGATTGAATGAAGGAATGAATGAATAATTCAGTTGAAAACGGGTTACGAGCGATAACTGTTTCAGTGTATTCATTTAATTCGTTAGAATTGTAACTAATTTATTTCCATTCTTGTTCTTGCTCTGCACAGCCGCGGCCACCGGGCGAACGAAGCGACAGTCGGATGAACCCAAGAAGGAAGAGTCATTCGAGAAAGAGCTTTGCAAGGACAAAGACGCCGGTGAATGGTTCCGATTAGTGGCCGGCGACGGCGACAACTGCCGTGACGTCATCCAGTGCACATCGTCGGTAAGTACCTTTTGCAACGACATGTAGACATTCATCAGTGCGAATCATCTAATTGGTGGGTTGCTTTCAATTGAATAGCATGTGCGGGTCGGAAGACGATTGTCTAATTTAGCTATTCGCATATAAATGGATACCCTTTTTTGGCGTTGATGAGCGTATAGTGCCTTGTATAAATTTCAAGCTTATAGGACATGTAACCTTGTTAGAAGCGTGAATAAGGGAAAGTTTCTGCCTTGAACAAGTTGAGTATATTCATGAATCGAAACAATCGTTTTAAAATGAGTGCCTTCCTATGTGTGGTATAGCTTGGACAGCGCAGAAATTGAAGCTGAAACTGAAACACTTAGCTTTGCTTCAACAACAACTGTTTGATAAAGCATGCTTGGATGCTTATGCAGCCTAGTCTCTCTTATTTGATGTTCTTCAATTCGATGGTCTGATTAATTCATTTGAACAACAAGCTGTTTTCTTTCCAGAAAATTATTTCCGTTTGAACTAGACTTGAATGAATCGACAGCAAACATTATTATTATTATTTAGCTTTATTTAGGAGGCTTTCAGCCTTAGGCTGGTTCGCCTCCAACACGACAGCAAACATAGTTCAAGTTTGTCAATCCACACTCGTGACCAATTTCATACTGGCGGTACAACTTTGACAACTGCGGTAGAACTCTACGGCAGACTTGGGTAGTGAACCAAGTCTGCACACTATTTTTATATCGCTGGAAACCAGCAAAATTTTGCTGGATTTTGCCGAGCTGTAAAACCAGCAATTCTTCCAGCAAATTACTTTCGTTGAACGACCAGTAAATTGACCCTACGTAAAAGTGACAGCTATTTACTGAATATCCAGCAAATTAGAGTGGCAATGATATTGCTGAAAGACCAGTTGTTTGATACAAAACAATTGAACCGGGATTGGATTTCGAACTGATATGAAACTAAATTATATTTGGTAATTTACTACATGCATGGAAGTTTAACATATCAAATGTGATTGTTCACTTTAAGGCGTTGAATTAATTTCGTTGGATCTATCGACGGTTTTTAAACTCATTTGATGTTAAATCCGGCAATCCTTGCAGCTACAGATAAACAGAGAATCGATGTATTCCATAGTATATATTGAGTTAACTATACACTTGCGAATATTCGACTTATATTTTACATGTAATTCATTATTTCTCTCTCTCTCACTCACTCTCTTCAATAGCAAAACAGAATACGCGGGAAAGTGAACGGTGATGATTTTGACGTTTCGTACAAGTTATTTAGCATCCAGCAAAATATCTCAAATTACTGAACATGCAGCAAGATATAGTTTTGCTGGAAGCCATTCAGCAATTTGTTTTGCTGGAAATCTATTCCAAAATTTGGTGTGTGCGGTAGACAGTTTCTATCATTTTTTTCTCCAAAAGTTGTTGATCTATGATTTTTGTTAATTTGTAAGTGAGCATCTTAAAAATTTCACATTTTAAATGAATAATATTCAAAACAAATATTATCATTTTTTGTTATTCAAGTTTTAAACATTGTTTAGGATTGTATACCCAAAATTATTCAGAGTCGAACCAGCCAATACAACTTTGTCTCAGTCGTCGTTTCGATTGGAAATTACGTTTTCGAGTTATGATTCGTTGGAAAATATCGAACACGCCATATTGAAGTTGTTTGCAAGATTCAAAATGGCCTAATTTTAGTGTGAATAATTGACCACAACAAACAATTATGCAAAGTTTCATGCAAATTGGAGAAGTTCAAGTTAGATCGATTCTTCATTTGGTGTGGAACTGCTTATTTATTCTCCAAACATCCCTAAAGTGCCTTAAATCTCTCAAGACTTCCTAATGGCTGCTGAACATATCTGAAGATGTTCGAACCTCCCTAATCACAATAGATATATTTCGAATTTCTCATGAGAGTTTCTCAGTTTTTTCTTCCTAGAAGTTCCCATATTCAAGGAGCTGTCACTATGTTCGTAGATGATTACTCTGTCAAACTTAGTGGCAGCACCTTGATATTGACAGTCATTTTGTGGTATATGGATCAGAAGAAATCAGTGTAGTTAATCGAATTTCAGATTAGATAAGCGAGCTTCACAGAACTTCAGTGGAACTTTCGGGAACCTCAGCGAACCAAAGATTTTTTCAACCTCAGGGAACCTCAGCGAACCAAAGATTTGTTCAGATTAATTACAGTAAAGTTCTAGAATGTCTCAGTGAAGATCATAGGATGCATGGTTTGGAAATATTAAGAAAAAACACCTCCGAGAAATACGAACCTGAGAGAGGTTTAGAGAAGACTAGAGAAGCTCAGAAAAACTGAAGTTCTTTGAGCCTCAAGAAGCTCGATAATCATCTCTTAAATTTGTGTGTGTTTTTTCTTTGTTATACAGTCAACTCTCCATATCTCGATGTGCTATATCTCGACCACTTTATTCCAGTGGTCGTTGGTTATCTTGATCCCTTCAATCGGTCGAGTAGGCTTCTCTTGATCGATACCTCGATCTCTCCATATGTTGATGGTACCATCAATATCGAGATATGGAGAATTAACTGTAGTAGCTTTCAGCCACTGCACTATGGTCTATAAACCGTATTTAGGTGGAATAAGTTGTATGTGTCTAAGTCATTCGTTTGAGGGAAAAAATGTCTCCGGGAAAGTTTTACATTTATTTAACCAACGTTTTGATGTTCAAGACACTAGGGTGCTCCAAATGGTTGATGAGTTCTAAAATTCATAGTTTTAGGTATTCGATATTAACCGGTGTAATGTTTGTCACAGTTGTAGAACAAGTTAATTGAAACGAAGTTGCTGAATAAATCAATGTTCTATTTCTAATGCTTCACGATTTATAGTGGTTTTTAATATGTAATTTAGGGTGGCCCTTAATATATTCTAGTAACTGATTTCTGGTCAATGATTTACTCTAGACATTTTTAGAATTTTTAAGGTGCACATTTTAGCCGAAACAACCATGTTTATATCTCTGTTTGTCCGAAAGTTATAAACGATTTTTATTTAAAAAATACGTCTTTTTCATAAGTCCATTTAATGAGCTCAACAAAAAAGACTGAAACGGTGTGAAGAGTGTGAATTATGCAGAGTATACTTCTATACAACCAAAATCAGTAACGCAAAGGTTACATAGACTGCTGTGTTTTGATCTGACCGTAGATTAATTAAAGTATGATCTTTCAAAAGTATCTAACAAGCACAAAATTCTACTTGCGCTATTAATAGATATAAACATTTGAAAATGCCATATATTTTTAATGAAAATCGTTTATAACTTTGCAACAAATAGAGATAGCTTGGTTGCTTCGGCAAAAATTTGTGCTAAGAAAAGATTATAAAGTCATCACAAATCATTTACGAGAAATCAGTGCTTAAAAACTTACTCTTGAAAACCCGATTTTTAATGGCCACCATAGTTATTAAAAACCAGTATTGTGAACCATTAGAGTGAGAAAATTGATTGCTTGAGCAAATTTGATTCAACTAACTTATTCTTCAACTTTGTACAACATTATGCCGATACATCTGGAATAACTAAAAGTTTATATTTAGAACTGATCGACCGTAATCCTAATGTCTTAAACATCACAAAATTGGTTGGAAATGTATTTCAAAGTTAGAAGATTTCATTAGTATTGTCGCATTAATGGCCCTTCGTTCAATTTTAACTTCTTTTCAATTTTAACACTGCCGTATTCTTGCGGAGCTATCCATATCTATGTCTCTTCAAAACTTTCTCTACCTAATATTTTATCGCACTAATGCTTCATGTTGATAAAAATAAAGCATTTTGACCACCGTTGCAATCGTATAATTCACGTATGAAGTAACAAACACTTTGATTGAATTTATTCCACCTGAATCCATTTTTGGGCCACTGTGCACTGACTGGTTCACCTCTTATCTCTGAAGTTTGCTGAACCTCTCTAAACGTATGTGAACCCGAATATTTCAGAAGTTGGAAGTTGTTCTACAAAGCTCCCTGATCCTCTCAGAAGATCATCGAATCTCTCAGCAGCTACTCAAAAATTATCTGAAAAGTTCGGCGTGTCCGGTCGAACCAGTATTGAGCCATTGGTTCGTAGCTGTGGCTAAGTTTATTAACGTCTCTTAAAACTGTTCCCCTGGTAGAGGTTCGTAGCTGTGCTTCCATTTATTAACGTCCTTTTAAACAAACCACCTTGAAGAGATGGAAATAGTTCATTCAGGACGATTTCGTAGCTGTGCTTCCATTTATTAACGTCCTTTTGAACAACCCACCTTGAATAGGTGGAAAAAGTTCATTCAGCACCCAGCCGATTAGCATCCCCAAGTAGCGATAATCACGGGCTACTTAGAGTTGGCTATAACCTATTTGCTCTATCATCGTCATCACCGACACTAGCGACTTATAAACAATAGTGCATTAGTGACAACAATGATCCCCCGTTCTTGTTCGCATTACTGACGGCAAATATCACCGCCAGCAACCCCACCGGGCACCGCGTGGAGGTAAGAATCGGAGTTCAGGTGCACGGAGGTCGCAAATCGCCGGTCAGGGCAGAACCCAACAACCATTGATAGGCGTTCTTATGCACCTGCTTTACCCGGCGGCCCATAGCTGTGGATACGTCTATTAACGTCTCTTTAAACTGTTCCCCTATAAGAGACCATAGCTGTGCTTCCATTTATTAACGTCCTTTTAAACAAACCACCTTGAGGAGGTGGAGATAGTTCATTCAGGACGGCCAAGTTGTAACCAGACCCAGTCGGTTAGCATCCCCAGGTAGCGATAATCACAGGCTACTTAGAGTTGGCTATAACCATAGCTGTGCTTCCATTTATTAACGTCCTTTTAAACAAACCATCTTGAGGAGGTGGAGATAGTTCATTCAGGACGGCATAACCATAGCTGTGCTTCCATTTATTAACGTCCTTTTAAACAAACCACCTTGAGGAGGTACCATAACTGTGGATACGTCTATTAACGTCTCTTTAAACTG